TCTGCTTCTTTCCTTTCTGATTTTCTATTTGCTCATACTCATGTTGAATTGAAATATAAAATCTGCTCAGTTGGTGAATATAGCCACTATGGTTGCAAAATGCTACAATGGCCCTATTTTCGTATAAACTGAGACAAAAAGTTCACCAACCACTTCTTCACCCTTACAGGCCAGTTTTGGAACCTCGCACTCTTCTTTCTAACGTTCAGAGGAACTGATATTTACCTAACAGTTAAAATCTGCCACTTCCGCCACCATGACTCACGGCATTCTCATAGGGTTCTTTTTTTATAAAGAAAGCTCCTGACGTCAATTTCCAGAAAACCTCCAAGACTATAAACCACAGTGATCTGGCACCAAATCCCAGGCCCCAGTGTGAGAGCCAGAGCCAAACATTAATTACTCCAAGTAAAGAGCTTGGGCTAGTGAACTATCTTGTAGGTTTCTAGTTTGATCTCTTTCTTTTCATCTGCAATTGCAGCACCAGTGAGATCAAGTTTAGAGATGGCACTGGTTAGATAGAAACATCAAAATACCCTACCAGTTCTCAATCTTTGACTTTATCTAATTCAGTTTCAGAGGCCAATTTGTAACACCACCAAGGAGCTTTGCTTTCACATTTATGAGATACTAACTAGTTCTTTTTGAACAAAACCAACAGCAAGGCAGAAAGGAATGCAAGAAATCTATGGTCAGAACATTTTGAAAGTAAATTACATTAATTCAGGTGCCATGTAAGCATCCAAAGGAGGGAAACAACCAACAGCCCTACACAGATAGGATGCCTATGAACCCTAACAATGACCAGAATTGCATGATAACCCTAAGCATGCAGTAATAACATACATAACTTATGGGTAACGATCAGGTATCTCATTGTACTTACAACCCACTCAACAAGAGGAAAATACAAGAAACCTAACCAGCAACCCAGGGCTACTGATCATAGAGGCAAATCAACAACTACCACTTTACTAAATAAAAATAATCCTAACTACATTCTAAATATTTATCCTTATGCCTACAGATCAGTGTAGTTCTTACCCCATATCAATGAAACTTTGGTTTTTCAATAGACAAAACCTGTTACAGAAAACCACATTCAATCAAAAGGAGAATTCTGGAATCCAACCCCAATGGATACATATTTGAAACAACTCCAATACTTAAGATTCAGGGATCGTTGTATAGAAGAGGGAAGAAATATTGTAAGAGCTAGAAGACCAGAGAGTTTGTTGTGTGTCCCACGAATGTCAGGAACTACATTAAGTCTCACACAACTGCTTAATCATGAGCTGAACAAGAATAACAGTAGACACTCTAATGTGGACTGGAGAAAAGATATTTTCTGTGCAGCTTTAAATAATTTGTAAACTAATGTTCACTGTGGGTCTATAAGAGAAAAGTATATTTACAAAATTATGTAACTTTATACTAAAAATTCTTATTCTTAACACTGTGTCATGATGTTGGGGTCTATTTATTCTGGGATTCTGGGCAGCCCAACACATATCAACTCAACAGGTGGACCTTTATGGGAGAGCATATCTCTTGTTGATATGCTCCACAGATACATTAAGACTTGTGACTGCATGCCAGCCTAATATAAGCTTCAGCACAGCATAGATCTTTAGTGGACTTGGTGCTTTGCAGGTTGGACCAAGTGAAGTCAGACTGCAAGTAATCACTGACCTGAAGTTGCTTCCATGTATGGAAAAACCGTACGTGAGCAACGTAACTTAATGAAGATGACTCATCAAGTTCAATGAGTACAGATCATGTTTTGATAAACAAAAGCTTTAGAATCAGGTTTAGTTTAAGGTCCAGCTCTGCCCCTTAAAAGTACAGGCTTGTACAACTTCCTTAAGCTGTCAAACTTTTAGTTTCCCCATCTTTAAACTGGACTAGTAATATTGCCCTCATATTGTTCTAAGGTGTAAATGTGGTAGTTTCCTGAATGGCTCAGTGTCAGAGGTTCAGTGAGTGCCATCTAAAAAACCAAGTCATTTCTGAGAGAGGCCCTGAGCTTCTGAGAAATGTACCATGGGCTGGAAAGACTTTAATCACCTTTTTCCTCATTTTGTTTTATTGAAACACGTCTTTAAATTTTTTGTTTGCCGTTTATAAGAAAAAGTTCATGAAAAGAAAAACAAAGAAGAGAAAAAGAAAAGAAAAGAAAGGTGAATAAAGATAAACACAAATGATGGTAGGGGGCATTTTCTCCCATCTGGGAGCTCAGCTAGATGTTACTAGTAGCTTACATGGGATAACAATCTTTATAATAAGGCTATTACTTAAACTAGGAGCCATTATCTGTAGCTCTTACACAGTCCATCCAGTAGACATAATATCCTTTTTATTTTCCTAAAATTATAAAGAACTTTACAGTAAATGGTACTATTCTACTTGGTAAGAATGGACAGTCAGTAGAGAAGATTTGCATCTATACCCTAACATAGAGATGAATGGATTATGTTATAAGTTCTCACCTATTAGCTTTGAAATTATGTAATTTTCTCTTTCTCTTATAGTTTTGGTTGTGAGTCTACCCTTTAATGGCTGAGCCATCTCTCCAGTCCTATTTTTTGTCTTTCTCAAAACCTTTCTTCCCAAACTGAGTATCCAACCTTCCTCTTGTTCAGGAAGAAGCAATCCTGGAGGCCAGATCTAGATAGGTGTCTTGTTTCTATAGATTATTTTGACTCAGCATATACACCTGAAGTGGTAGTCAATCCTGAAACCATCCTGAGGGCAAGTTCCTAGTTCAAAGAACAACATCCTAAGGGCAGATGCCTAGTCTTCAAAGCAACCTTACACACAGTGGATGCTTCTTGTTAGTGTATAAAGTACTATATGCTGATTATGAAAACAAGCCAAACCACTGTAACTACATCAAAATACTAGTCATTGAATGGAAACTGAAAGAAGGGGGATGCCTATAATTTCAGAAAAAGCTCTTATTCCTTAAAGTCCTTCCTGATCACATGAAACACCCAGGTTAGAGGGGATCTGTACCCTAATTCAAAGCCACATTCAATCAAAATTGTTGTATCTAAGTCTCAGGCTCTGCCTTTTGATACACCCAACGCTTGTCTGTTGAGTAAACTTGCCATATACTTTCAGTTGCCTAGTAGGAGAAAGGGCTTGGTGCTTCCTGTAATCATGTGACTAGTCTCTCTTGCTTAATTTCATTTCTACCACGCCTGGGGCAGGAAGTGGTGGGGTAATACTTCTTTGAGTACATATATAGTGTCTTGTAACATATAGTGTTAATATTTCTGGTCTCTATAATAAATTCGTAGCAGTCTCTTTTCTCAGGGAGTCTGGAAAACTCCTGAATTTTTGTATTTTGTGTACATTCTCCCTACTTTATAGAAAAGAGCAGAGTCTACTGTGTTCTATGTGTCCTTATATCTACCCTCCATGGTCATCTCTTTGGTATTGACAATCACATCCATTAACTTTGTGTTTCCAGCACCTGAGCACAATGCCTGGCCTTGGGACATTGCAGGGTAGGAGAGAATGGGGAAGCAAAACCCTAGTTTGAGGCTTCTAGGCAGTCAGAGGCCATAGAAGGTATCAAAACAACAGATGTCTTCCTTTATATCTTTGCCTCTTGGTAACAAAAAAAAAAAAAACTAAAATCCTTTGAGTGCTAGTGAGGTAGCTGTGTTGGCCTGAGCTGTGAATCACTTCCTGTGAGCATAAAGATAAGCAAACATCATATCTAAAAGCAAAAATAACCTTTACTGGCCCACACAGGAAACCACATTTCAGTTCAGCATCTGGTCTTAATCAACCAGTTTCAAAGCAGTGAAGATTTGGATCGAGATTGAGAAAGCAAACCGTTGCTCACACAGCAGATACAATTCTTCTTTGGCTCAATCTTCTAATGTATATGATTGTGCAGAAGAGGTCCTCAAGGACAAAACTATTACTGGAAAAATTCTCCCTTCTCTTTCATTTCTGTTCCTTATCCACAGTATACTGTCAGACATCGAGGGGTGCCTCGCTCATGAGTTTTAACTTAGTTCACTTAGGTCACTATATCTAAACATAAGGTTTAGTAGCCTCTAAGGAGGCTCCAATAAGCTGCAACTATCTCCCAAACATCTCCCTTGAATCTTGAGTGAGTAAATGTGGACATGGGTACTTTAGTTCCTCCCCTTTAAATCATAATCAAATGAGCTTCTCACAGTTCTTGGACCAAGAAAGACCTGATACAGACGATTTGTACAGACCAAAGCTTGACTGTCATTTTTTTCTGAATACTTACAGACTAGAATGGTTTGCAAATTGGAAACTACTACTGTATCAAGTTATATGGGTTTCCTCTCGGCTGCACATTTTATATGAGATTTGTCAATGTTCATGCTTTGTATATCATAGATCATTTAATGCAAAGAAAGAAGCCCTTCAGATCACAGTGTTTATCTTCCTCTATGAAAGCCCCAAAACTAAGTATCCCTAGAGGGTACATAGGAATAAAATCATGAAGTACATTGCAGAATACCTATGTTACAGATTTTTTTTTTACCTACCTTATACCGAAACATGACAGTCGCAGCACTAACTTTCCTTTTAAAATGTTTTCAAACAAAGACAACACGTCTTCCCGCTACTGTTCAAAATCACTCTGGCTATGATTTTCCTCCCCACTTTAAAATGAAACTTCAACTTTTCTAAAGATTAAACAACATAGAAGATCTTCCCAATTACATCTCACCTAAAAAACTTCAAGCATTAGAAGCCACCATATACAGTGGGCAATTCAAGTGCCATAATAATGTAAGCTCATGGAGGCTCAGACCCAAAGAGTTATCAGAAAATAAAATACCAATTAAATCAAAGTGTTTCTAGCCCAATTGCCTGAGGGAAGTGCTGATCTAAATATTTGTAAACACCAGACATTTTAAAGTTACTAAAGTGATGTATAGAGACCCTCAAAATGCTGTGTGCTGCATTAGCTGGTTCAGAGCTGTTAAAGTCGTAAGTCTTACCTTTAGAAGGCAGTGTCCCTTAGTACTTCAGGTAGAATTCGCTGACTATCTTTAAGGTGGCCAGCACAGCTTGGTAACCCAGAAGTCTATGTCTATTTGTGTAAAAGGAGAAGTGAAGAGAGAAAAAATACGATCATGCTGTGGTGACAGGAAACCCAAGCGAGAACAGTGAGGAAGTGAGACTGAATGTTCTCTCTTAGGTTCAGATCTTCAACTGTTCCTCAGTGGGGTTTTAGAGACTTCTACGCCCAGCCTATTCTAAGTTGGTTTCTGGGAGCTAAAGAAGGTCTGACATACCAATCTGAGTCCTGGTGAACGCTACAGTAATTTGGGTGATAGTTCCTGACCATAGAACAGTGCTTCTCAATTGAAGCAGCAACTACAAATTACCTGTGGATCTCCTCTGGATCTGTTCCTGTGTATGTGTCCCGACCACCTGACCACAAATTATACTACTAAACCATATTGACAAAGACAGCATGGTACTGGAACCAAAACATACTTGCAGACTAATCGAGCATAGTAAAGGACACAGAAATAAACTTGTATAGGCTTAGATACCTACTTTGGGACAAAGGTGTATCAACTCATGAACTAGAAAAACTAAAACATATTGAATAAAAGCTGACAAAATTAAATAGCTACTAACAAAGAATTAGGTTAAATCTGTATTGTTTTACCCTTCACAAATATAAATTAAAGTGGACCAAAGACCTTAATTTAAAACCTAAAATGCTAAAACTACTATTGAAAACACTTCAAAATATTGGCATAACCAAAACCTTTTAGAATAGAATCCCAATAGAACAGGAAATACACTCATGAGTTAAAAAAATAAGATTAAAGAAAATTAATCTACACAGCCTCTCAGAAAGTGAAGAGATAGACTACAGAAGAGAATACCATTGGCAGCTGTATGTCAAACAGAGGTTTGATATTTAAAAATATAAAGAGTTGCACAAATTAAGTACCAAAAAGGGGAAAAAAACTTTCAAAACTGCTTATTGATAAATAGGTCAATAGACTTAACAAGACAGAAGAAAGAAGAAAAAAGAAAGAAGAAAAAAGAAAAACAGATGGATAACAAATATTTTTTTAAATGTTGAGCATCCTCAGCCAGCAAAAAAACACAAATTAAAACTACGATGAATCCTGGTTCTTTGACTTTTACAATTTTTCAATCCCCTTTTCCATAATTTTTTATTGTTTTATTTATTTACATTCCAAATGTTTCCACACTTCCTGGTGTCCCTTCCAAGAGCTCGTCACCTCATACTCCATCCCCTTTACCTCTGAAAAGGTGCTCCCCCACCTCCCCACCCATCCACTCTCCCCTCACCTCCCCACCCTCATCTCATCCCCTACATCCTTCTTCCATGGAGCATCAAGTCTCTACAAGATTAGGAACATCCTTTCCTACTGAGACCAGACAAGGCAGTACTCTGCTATATATGTGCTGGGGGCCATGGAGCAGCCCATGTATGCACTTTGGTCAGTAGATTGGTCTCTGGGAGCTTCTAGGGGTCCTGGTTAGTTTATACCATTGGTCTTCCTATAAGGTTACCATCTCCTTCAGCTCCTTCAATCTTTTCACTAACTCTTCCATGGGGGGTCCCTAACCTCAGTCCAATGGTTGGCTGTAAGTATCTGCATCTGTCTCAGTCAGCTACTAGTATAGCCTCTCAGAGGACAGCCATGCTAGACTCCTGTCTGCAACCACAACATGGCATTGGTAATAGTATCATAGTTTGGTGCTCACCCATGAGATGGATCCCAAGTTGGGCCAGTTACTGGATGGCCTTTCCTTAAATCTTTGCTCCATTTTTGTCCCTGCATTTCCTTCAGACAGAAACAGTCAGTCCTGAGTCAAACATTTTGAAGGTAGTTTAGTGACTCCATCCCTCCACTGGGAACCCTATCTATCTACTAGAGGTGGTTTCTTCGCTGTTGGGCATTTTGGTTAAGGTCATCCCCATTGAGACCTGGGAGCCTCTCACGTCCCAAGTCTTGGGGATTTTCTAAAGGTTCACCTTGCCTCCCACCCCCAGTAGCTGCATATTTCCACTAATTCTCCTGGCATCTTAATTAATTTATTTATTCACTTTACATCCCAATATTAGCCCTCCCTCTTCTCCCAGTTACCCCTCCCAACTACACCCCCATTGCCTCCTCTCCTCACCTGAGAATGGGGAGTCATCCCCCCTGGTTTTCTTTCTCTTTCTGTCTATGTCTGTCTCTGTTTCTGTCTGTCTCTCTGTCTGCCTCTCTCTCTCTCTCTCTCTCTCTCTTTCACACACACACACACACACACACACACACACACACACACACAGAGAGAGAGAGAGAGAGAGAGAGAGAGAGAGAGAGAGAGAGAGAGAGAGAGAGAGAGACATACACACATCACACATCAGTGACTGCAGGACTAGGCACATCCTCTTTCACTGAGGCCAGACAAGGCAGCCCAGTTAGAGGAACTATATCATAGGCAGGCAATATATTTAGGGACAGCCCCTGCTCCAGGTGTTGGGGAACCTGCATGAAGATCAAGGTGCACATCAGCTACACATGTGCCAGGGGCATAGATCCAGTCCATGCTCACTCTTTGGTTGGTGGTTAAATCTCTGACAGCCTCCAAGTGTCCAGGTTAGTTGACTCTGTTGATCGTCCTGTGGAGTCCCTAACCTCTTTGGGTCCCTCAATTCTTCTCCCAACTCTTCCACAAGACTTACTGTGCTCCATCAAATATTTGGGTGTGTGTCTCTGCATCTGTTTCAGTCTAGATAGAGCCTCTCAGAGAACAGTTATGCTAGGATCCTGTCTGCAATCATAGCAGAGTATCACTAATAGTGTCAGGGATTGGCACTTGCCCATGGGATAGCCCAGTCATTGATTGGTTATTTCCTCCATCTCTGCTCTATCTTTATCCCTAAACATCTTGTACACAGGACACATTTTAGGTCGAAGGTTTTGTGAGTAGGTTGCTGTCCTTATCCCTCCATTGGAAGTTTTAACTGACTATAAGATCCATGTCCCCCACTTTGTTGATGTTTTCTGATCATTAGGTGTGATGATTTGTATATGCTTGTCTCAGGGAGTGGTACTATTAGGATGTGTGGCCTTGTTGGAGTAGGTCTGTCACTATGGGTGTGGGCTTAAGACTCTCATCCTAGCTTCCTGGAAGTCAGTATTTTCCTTGCAGCCTCCAGATGAAGATGTAGAACTCTCAACTCTCCTGTACCATTCCTGCCTGGGCTCTACCATTGTCCTACCTTGATGATAAAGGACTGAACCTCTTAACCTGTAATCCAGCCCCAATTAAATGTTGTCCTTGTAAGAGTTGCCTTGGTCATGGTGTCTGTTTACAGCAGTATAAAACACTAACTAAGACATTAGGTATGGGAGATTTATCCATTGAAGATGGGCCACCCCCCTTTGTGGTTAGATATTTTTCCATTTTTACCAGTTGTAGCTTTCTGTAATGATCTGTTTGCTTTGCAGAGAAGTTTCTTTGATGAGGATTGAGACCTCCACTTACCTGTGGACATAAGGATAAGTATTTAGAGTACAATAGGAGTCATATTGGTTTAGTAAAGTGGAAGTAGTAGATTCTCCTCTAACATGCATGACTTCACCAGCCCCTGGCAATAGGCTAGCTTTCTAGGACCAAGCATGGTTTTCCTCTAATTGAACAGGCTTTAAGTCCAATTAGATAGCTGCTAATTACCACCATGGTACAAGCATCACTATTGAACCTTTAGGGATATCATATCATGATGGCCATTGTTTTGTTTCATATGCAGTGCAGCTATATAGGACTATTGGTTGTGTTCCTCCCTTGGCAGACTGCATAGCATCTTCTGACATTATGAAAGCTAGTCTTCAAAGGGAAGGCTTTCAAGTCAAACCTAGCTCAAATCCAAGAAGTCCTGTGTCTGAAGGGCATCATGTTTCAACAATAGGATCTTAACTTGAACTTCTGGGAGGTCATTGTGCTGGTTAGTTCCATGTCAACTTGCCATAAGCTAGAGTGATTTGAGAAAAGGAAATCTTAACTGAAATAAAATGTCTGTACAAAATTGGTCTGCAGTCAAACCTGTGCTGCATTTTCTTGACTGGTGATTGATACAGGCCCAGATCACTGTGAGTGGTGCCACTCCTGGGAAGGTGTACCTGGGTGCTATAAGAAAGCAAGCTATAAGAACAAACCAGTAAGCAGTATTCAACCATGGGCTCTGTATCAGTTCCCGCCACCAAGTTCTTGCTCTGCTTGAGTTCCTGTCCTGATTTCCCTCAGCAGTACAGTGTTACCTGAGAGTTTTAAATAATTGATTTTTTTTCTATGCTGTTTTGGGCATCTCTTGGTCTCTCCTGACTAGCAACTCAAAAGAAGTTTCATCATACCTGTTATGGGGAGTTTTGTTATCTAGGCTATGGATCTTGTGGGGAATATTATCACTCCAAGTGATAAAATTTCATTTAAACTATATACATTCATTTATATGTATTATGTGTAATTTGGGATAAATAAAAACTAGTATAACTCCTATGGCTTTTTCAATCATGCTTGGTGTTATTTATCCCTCCTTTCTTTCTATGTTGATCTCCCCACTCTTCACCTACACTTCCCCCATTTTTCTCATTTCATCCTTCATATCACTTGTATTCTGCTATTCCCCTTCTTGTGCTCTTGGAAGTGGCGGGGAAGCTGCACCCATAATACCCCAACAATATGGCTGCCTAAACAAGGTATGAAAATGACAACACCAACATACATGCTAGAAGGAGGAAATCTCATACATGGAAGAAGGAAATTTCATGGGATCCCACCCCTAGACAAAGAATTACTACAGACAACTAATGACTGCTTAGGTAGAATTAGTCTCTCCTAGAACTGAGTACCCTAAATGCTTATCTAATGCCAAGTGGTCAACTATGAAATCATATATATACAAATAACACAAAATGGAATATTAAGGATGGATACAGGAGGACAAAGGTAAGAAGTTGGAGTAGAGGAATAAGGTAGAAGATAGAGCAATAATTCTCAACCTTCCTAATGCTGAAACCCTTTAGTACAGTTCTTTTTGTTGGAGTGATCCCAACCATAAAATTATTTTCACTGCTACTCCATAACTGTTATTTTCTACTACTATGAATTTTAATGTAAATATCTATGTTTTCTGTTGGTCTTAGGCAAACTTGTAAACCTCAATCTCCATTGGGATCTCAGCCCATAGGTTGGGAACCTCTAAGATAAAGGGTCAACCTAAACTAAGTATTATGAAATTTCCATAATGAAACTTTGTATGTTAACTTCAAATGTTTTTAAATGATGGTGTGGCAAATTATAACTGAATTTAATAGGATTTATTTTAATTCTGTTTGTCCATAAATGTCTACCATCCATTTGGAGAAAGAGAACAAAACCATAAGAGGAACAACACAATGTCAGGAAATTCTATATTGTTGAATGATCCAGAATAATACTAAAACAGGAAACACCCTTAAAATAGAAAAGGGGTCTTGGAGACATTACAAAGTCCCCTTCAATTACTGGAGGTCAGGCCTCTATCCCTGTCTTTGCAAGATTAGAATCACCACAGCCCTTCTATACTTAGAGAAGGGAGGAGATGTCAGGGGCAGCCCTGCTTATACTGAAGGCCTATAATCAGCCATAGGCCTAAAATCAGCAATAGGCCTGTCATACTTGTATACTAACACCAAGTCTTGGGTCTCTGTGGATAAACATTAAAACAGATGGCTATAAGCTATTGTAAACAGGCAGCTTTTGTGGAAATTTACCAGCCTGAGTAGTCATAGACCTTGTAAATAGGTAGCCTTGGCAGATAATACCAACTTAGATAAGGATAAGTGAATCATAGGCAGAGTCATAGTGACCTGTCCCCTGAAGCTTCACCCAGCTGATCCCTGTTCTGAAAGATATCTGTACTCCCCCTGAACACCCATGCTCCAATGTCATCCCCTTCCCCCATGTCCTGCCTTTTTGTGTTTATAACCCCTGTGTGAATAAGTAAAAATATGATTTGATTTAATAAAACAGAGGGGTCTTATAGATATTCAAGCTCATGATTTGACCTTGTTGATACATAATATATTAACCAAGTCTTGGTTTAAAAATATATGTGCCAAACTATGTGCCAAAGTATATTTGGGGACATATATAATACCTGTGATACATTATAGATATTCACTTTAGATCCTACAAATGATATAAGTTCTCAACAACATATATCAAATTTATGGTACTCATATTTTAATTCACTTCTCAGAATAAATGGTATTTGAAAATTCCATGACTATCCAGATTGTATGAACCAAATTTTAGAATTTTAAACACTTATATTCTATAACATATAAATCATCATGATCAAATTTTATGAAGAAAAAGATGATTTATTGAATCTTAGACCTAGGAATATGTTACAGTAGAAACAGCATAGTGCTGGAAAACAGAAAATATCCACAAACATAGTTTAGAAAGTCACTGTCTTATTAGAGTTACTGTTGTGATGATGAAACACCATGACTAAAAGAAACTTGTGGAAGAAAGAATTCAATTTTTCACAGTTCCATTGAACAGTTTGTCATCAAAATCATCGAGGGTAGGAATTCACACAGGGCAGGAGGCTGAAGGCAAAAGCTGATGCAGAGGCCACTGCTGCTTCCTCGTTTACTCTATATGACTTGATCAGTTTTCTTTCTTATAGAACCCAGGACCACAGGTCCACAGATGGCACCATCTACAATTGGTTGGGACATCACTAATTAAGAAAATGTCCTTCAGGCTTGCATATAGACAAATCTTATGGAGTCATTTTCTTAGTTGAGGTTCCCTCTACTCTGATGAAGTTAGCTGCATCAAGTTCACATAAAACTATCCAGCATGTCACTTAGCATCTTTGGGTCTTGGTAAATTTTTATGTACCATAGGAATAACTTCTGTTTCTGAGTCAAATGAGGAGTATGGAAAAGTTTTATAAAGTTTTAAGCATGATAAAATGTTACTTATTACTCTCCATATAGTTCTTAGATAATACCTACCCAATCTTCCTGACTTATTTCACATTCAGAGCCTAAGGTATAAAACAGTAAGAGACTGGTCCTTGATCTCTGCTATTTGGAAAGCCAGCAGTTATCATAATCTTGAACTTTTATTCCTTAGAAAGACAGGCAGAGCCCAGAATGTACAAGAAGAGGTCCCTTTGTCCTATAGACTCTTTTTATTTCAACAGGATAATGTGACTCTCTCTTATTAAGCTTTCCA